AGGCAGCCATCACATTCTCTGCACTTGACAAAGGAGCTGTGCTCTAAGGCAACAACATGCAAGTTCAAGCTGAGCCCCAGCCTAGGAGCCAAACTGACAAGACGATGCTCTCACAGAGAGAGAGAATAGATCTGAGGTTCTAAAAATATATTCCACACATGGATGCCATAGCTCCTGAAATTTCAACATTAAAAATCGATTTCTCATGGGTCATACAGCTCTTGTAGCATCTTTTAAAATCTGTAGACACACCTAAGAAGGATAGAGTACTAAGATATCAATTACTATTATTTTAGTGTGAATTAGTCAATGAATTCACCATCTTCCTTATTAGCAACTATTCCTGGAGAGAGGAGATCACTGCATATCTTACTAGAGCAGGAGACAGTAGAAGACAGAGAGCAGAAAGATCTAACTTAAAGGGGAGGGGAGATTACCAAAGATGAACTTGGCCTGCCTCATAATTTTATCCAGGGTCACCTCTGAAAAAAATACAATTTCAATGACCCGGTAAGAACTCACTCCTAATAAGATTTGATATTCGTTTCTGATCACTAAAACTAATAAATTAATACAATGAGAACATCCAGGAGTATTCCAGCGCAAGTTTTGATGTTTCTAGTGTATAATTAAGGAAGAGAGAATCTAAATAAAACTTAGTCTTAGAAAGCTGGTGTGACTCCAAAAAAAAAAAAAAAAAAGTCATGTAAGGCCTATTGCACAGCCAGATCTGGTCTAATATACATGGCCTTCCTCTGCTGGTCCTTTGTAACTTAATGCAGAAAGATACTTCAGCACATTCAGAAATCTCACCCACTCCTCACTTGTCTCATATCTCACTGTTGAGTTTTCTAGACTATGCTTGTACCATTGTTCCATGTGCTGTGAGAATGTTCTATCTACACTGTCCTGTAATACATTATTCCATCTTATTCAACTGAGGTGTGAGTGGACTCATTTTTCTCACAAATCCTGTTATGTACAAGATACCAAGCAAAACAAAAAGACCTGTGAGCAGCAGGCAGAAGACCCCCAAACTGTAATCTGGACAATTTTTTCATGTTCAAGTATTCCAGATTTCTGCTAATTTCAATATTGGAGCAGAAAGATAAGATGCAACAATTGAGACGACAAATTGAAAAACATTAACATTAAAACAATTCACTTACATAAATAAGAATAGTTGGCTGAGAGGAGAGAAAACCGTTTCTCAAACAAAGTGTCCCCAATTGCAAAATGTCAAAGCTGAACAGACTAGCCATTAAGTCACATGTTTAAAAATCCTTACAAGGATTTTAGTAATGCTGGAGTAGCTTGTAATGGACTAAACCTCCAACAACAACAACAACAAAATTAAAATCTCTAGAAAATACACTTGAAAATAACTAGTTGAAAACACTGGAGAACCCCCCCCCCCCCCAAAAAAAGGCAGAAATTACTGGGAATTTGATACTTGAAAAGAAAGGAATCGCTTTGGGTCGGATATAGGTCTTGAGAGTACTATGCTAAGTGAAATAAATGGGATGGAAAAAGACAAGAACTGTTATGGTTTTACTCATAGGTAGGATATGAAACAAAAATCAACCAATGAACAAACAGAAACAAATAAACTCATAGATATAGACAACAGAATGGTTGTTACTGGAGAAGAAGGGAGTGGGGGGAGGACAAAGAGGGTAAAAGGGGTCAAGGTGACGGAAGGAGACTATTATAACCTTGTATACCTGAAATTTACATGATGTTATTAACCAATATTAATAAGTTTAGTTTTTTAAAAAAGATCCATAATTATAGGCCATTCCCCAAGATTATTTCAGGCTGCATGAGGTCGGGTGAATAGAACTCAAAGAGAAAGCTAATGCTTCACTGGCTCGAAGAGTAAAATAATGTGATTGAAAAATACCAGCTAACTGGATATTGAGCAGAGAAATCTTGAAAAGATGGGCCACAGAGAGAATTCCCAAATCCGTAAATTCCTCAAATTCGTGGCCCTCCTAAAATATGCCTGGGCAAGGGAGACTCAGAGCGGTCCAGGAAAAAGCAAGAGCTAGAATCCTGAAAGAAAAAAGTTGAGATTTCAGTCGTGTCCAGAGTGTAAAGCTCGAGTCCCACACAGTAAAAGGGACTTAAAACACCACGGGCTTTCCATCGAAACCCCAGAGTTCCTCTACCTGTGAGTGAAGACTATGTCTCAGGACTATGGAATTTGCCCAAGAGCTAAAGAAAAAAAATTTTAAAACCCCACTCTAAAAAGCCTTTATAATTTTAACGTGATAGGCAGTTGACGGCTAGACAACAAAGACTAAAGGAGAAAAACAACATGATCATCTCAACAGATAAAGAAAAAGCATTTGCCAAAATGTAAGTCACTCTTGATTTAAAAAAATAAATTATCAGCAAACTAGGACTAGTCTAAGGAACTTCCTCAATTGTGATAAAGGACATCAACAAAATGCATACAGCTGACATCATACTTAATGGGCAAAGACTAAATTCCTTCCTGCTAAGACTGGTTATGAGGCAAGGAAATCTGTCCTGGGGCCTCCAAGCATAGTAAGGCAGAAAAAGGAAATAAAAGACACACAGTTCAAAAAGAAGAAGAAAACTATATTTATAGACATGATGGTTTACAGAGAAAATCCTAAGGGATCTACCAAAAAAATACTATTAGAACTAATACATGAATTTATTAAGGTTGCAAAATTCAAATCAATATACAAAAAAAAAATTCATTTCTAAATAATGCTAAAACTAACAATTTCAAAATAAAAATTTTAAAATACTATTTATAACAGCATCGAAAAGTTTAAAATACTTTGGAATACATTTTTTTAAAACAGGCTAGATCTCTATATTGAAAATTACATATTACTAACATTTTTATTGATGAGAAACATTAAAAACCATCGGTAAATAGATATACCATGCTTCTGGATTTGAAGATGCTCACAATTATTAAGATGTCAGTTCTCCTCGAAATGATTTATAGATTCAGTAAAATTTCAATTCAAAATCCAGCAGGCTTGTGTGTGGAAATTGATAAGCTGACTCTAAAATTGACATTAAAATTCAAAATACTGTGGATAACTAAAACAAATTAACAAACAAAAAGAACAAAGTTGGAGGACTCAAACTACTTAACCTTAAGACTTACTATAAAGCAATAGTAATAAAGACAGTGTGGTACTTGCATAAAGATAGACAAAGAGTTCAACGGCAGAAGCAGTCTACAAATAGATTCACATCTACAGTCAACTGAATTTTGACAAAGGTTCCAAGGTGATCCAATGAGAGAAAGAAAGTCTTTTCAACAAATGGGTGCTAGAACAACTGGATTACTATATAGGGAAAAGAAATCTCAACCCCTCTACACATGAATATTAATTTTAGAGGGAACAAAGACCTAAACATAACATAGGCCTAAACATAAAAGCTAAATCTATAAGCTTCTAAACGAAAACAGAATATCTTTGTGACCCTATGACAGATTTCTTAGAGAGGACATAAAGTGTATAAACTATGAAAGAAGAAACTGATAAATTGGACTTAATTTGAAAAAAAAAGTCACCATTAAGGAAGTGAAAAAGCAAGTCACAAACTGGGAGAAAACATTCACAATACATATTTCTCACAAAAGATGCATATCCAGAAAACATAAAGAACTATAAATCAACAATAAAAAGACAAACCCAGTATCACGAAACAGGACAAAAAATTTGAACTGGCACTTGGGGGAAAAAAAGGATGGAGAGAGACCAGTAAGCATATAAAAAAGTGTTCAACATCAGGGAAATGCAAATTAAAACCACAAGATATTATTTTATACTCACTAGAATGTCTAAAATTAAAGAGATTGACCATAGCAAGTGTTGGTGTGTTGGTGAGGATATGAAGTAATTGGAACTCATCTACATTGCTGGTGGGAGTACAAGAATACAACCACTTTGGAAAAGCATTTGAGAATTTCTTATACATTTAAATAAATATCTGTTTTGCTACCCAGCAATCCCACTGCTAGATATTTACCAGAGAAATGAAAGCATATGTCCACAAAAATTTAGGTACAAGAATATTTATAGAAGCATTATTTATAATAACCAGAAACAGGGAAAACTCTAAATGTTCATCGAGAAGAAATGAGGAAACAAACTGTTTTACGTTTATATAAAGGAATGAATATTCAGCAATAAAAAGGAACAAAATATTGATATACACAATGATGTGAATGGATCGCCCAGAAATTATGCTGACACGAAAGAGAACACATTATGGAGTTCCACTTATATGAACTTCCCAAACAGACAAACCTAATCTATGGTGAAAAAAAGAAAACAAAATATTACATTTATTGTCTTTGGCAGCAGGGGACTGACTGTGAAAGGACACAGGGAACTTTTAGAGTGATGAAAATGGTCCATGTCTTGGACTGGGGTGCTGGCTACACAGCTGTATGCATCTGTCAAAACTCAGACTCTGCACTTCTGATCTTCATTTCACTGTATATAAATTTTACTTCAATTTAGAAAAAAATTGGGGAGTGAGAGCTGGGATAGTACCAGGGGAAGAGGATAGAATCCCTTAAAAAAACAGAATGAGATAAAGATTATAAAAAAAAAAAAAAAACCCGACAATCCTTACATTTTTAACAAATTCAGAGGCAAACAAAATAATTGGCCCCAAAACACGAATCTAAAGTATAGTTTAACGGACATGAACCAAAAGAGGCAAGAACCAATTCAGCTAAGATGATGATGAATAAAAACAAAACTCAGCATGTTAAACAAAACACAAGATTGCCAGATTTAGAAAATATATATAATCTGGCAACCCAAACCAAGACCATTAGATAACAAGATACCAGCCAGCCTAACTTAACCCACTGAATTTTTTTAAAGCATCTCTTACGAAATACTCTTTTTATAATTTCCATGACAGAAACTCCTACTGAGTATGAATTAAGATTACACGTACACCATAAACCACCCAAAACTCATCCTTACCTTCAGTGAAACTCCCTGTTAGGGTTATTACTACAAATACTTTCCCTTCTGGCTCCAGATCCACCTAGAAAGAGAGAAAAAAAATTATATGTTATATTCTTTAAAATACTTTTTATGGGCATTAATTCTTTACAGAGAGGCCTAAAGTCATAGCCATAAATCAATTCTAAGTCTTTTCATTAAACAGTAGAGGGGTAAGAATGAAGAGAAAATGCAAGAAACCATAATGGTTGAAAAGCAAATCTAAAAGAAACAGTTATTTCAATGTTTCCCTTCTCTTGAATTTTATTTTCTTCCATTTTGGCTCTGCATGATATCAAGAAGCACCCATAAACATGGTCATTGTTTTTGAGACGTCCCTATCCTATGCACACCATTTATAAGAGTAGCATTTTATTAAGCCACATGGTAGTTACAAGGAATAGAAAAATAATGGCAACATATAAGGTAATGAACAAATGTGACACGGTCAACTGCAAACCTTTAGTTTTTAGGAGGTAAAACATAAGAGGAAAGGAATGTTGTCTCTGTCTAACCATTTCCACCTAAGTGAGATTAATCTTCAGGAAGCACTAGGAAAGGCATTTCAGGAGCTTTCCATTCACTACTGTTCCCAGGAGTATCAACATTCCATAAAGTTCTTATCTATGAGTATATATATCAAGATATACATTCTGCAGATGAGGCCGCTTGAAGTCGTTCAATAGGCCCCATCCTCTGCATGTGCTCCAGCTTCCTAAAGGCCTTCAAATAGCATGGCCCCAGGATGGGGCAGCACCCTCCACATCAGCTCTGATCACACTAGCCCAGGCAGGCAGGCAGGCTCTGCCTTCCTCATGCTGGTGCTAACTTTGAACTATCCGTGAACATCTCTAAGTAAGTCTTAGATTCTGAGGTTCTGTTGGACCCAAATACATGAATTTACAATTGTCCTTAAATAAGATCTTGTCAGATTCAGCCCATTTCTGCCTTTGGCCTCTCATCTAAGAAAGAGAGAGGTCCAGAGAAGATGAGTATAGATATGGATAGACATTTCTGGTAGAATATTCCATTTAAATAAACTACTAATCACATGGTATGGTAGAAAGAGCCATGAACTAGCCCAGGACATAGGTTGCAGCCTGACTGCCACAGCTGGCCCTGGGCAAGGTTCTCAACCACTCCAAGCTCACTGTTGTCATCTAAAGGTCCACGACATCACTACTCAGCATTTCTGACATGCTTCCATCAGATGATCTCAAAGAGCATTAGCAGTACTACTTACTGTACCTACAGGTGACAAAGACTGAAAAAAAAATGCACCGACCTTACCCTAGCTCACTACCACATACTTTTTAACACATCTTGATCATGTACTTTTCAACATAAAAGATGCCTGTTTTGTACTGACTCAGAAAGCTTTATCTATATAGCAGCCTATTCTTATAAACTCTCCTTTACTCTGCATAAAATCTGCTTTTAATGTGGTACCACACTGTAAATCACCCTAGTCTTCACATCAGCTGCCTGCATCATAATTACTGCTAACTTAACTATACCCCCTTAACTGTCTTAATACCACTGTGAACCTTTATAGAGCAGTTCTGAAAATAGAGCTCTCTGGAGAAATGACTAAACAGGATGTCAGTCTCTAATTGTCTCACTCTCTGCCTTGACTTGTTTCAAATCAAAAATATGTTATTTTTAAAAACCACTCCATCATCTTCACTATAAAAGCCTGGCAGAGCCACACACATTCGACCTCACAAGGTAAAGTTCTGCTGGCACAGAAGGAGCTTCTCCCAGTCTCAGGACAGACAGACTGCCAGGGTACCTCAGCAATCCTCCAGCCCACGGCCAGCCCATAAACTCTTTCAACACTCCTGTGACGGCCTGCAAAGAAGGCTGCCCCACCCCAACAGGTCAGGGGCTGCTCTGACAGACATCAGGAGATTCCACCACTTAGATTAAGGAGCTCTCACGAGTAAAACAGGTTTGCTTCCACATTCTTGACCCATGCCACCATTGTGAAGGAAAAGCCAGACTCAAATGCCATCTTCAAGCCCAGTCCATCTAAGACTTCTGACCTTAGAACAGGGTTTTACAAACTGCAGGTTGAAACTCATTACTGAGACATGAAAACAATGGAGTGGGTTGCACATGACAGGAATTTTCAAGCAGAATAAAATGGAACAAAAATATGAACACTCCAAGCAGCAAAAGAAAAATTACTATGTCATTAAATTTTCTGTTTGCAGTTTTGTATGCGAGTATTAATGCAAAAATGTATTTGTTACTGTCACAGAAAACAGCACTTAAGCTTTACGAACTACTACTCTCTCACATGTGATCTAAATGGTTCAGCTGGGATTCTACCACTAACTCCAGAGTGGACATGTGACCCAGGCCTTGCCAATTGGAGCACTGAATTCCTCCAGACATGATGACTGGCCTAGAACTGACACATGCCCTACACCTGGCCATCTGGGTAATTGCTACTCATTACCCTCAGTATCTGGTTCAGGGTTGGACACGAAATCCAACAGATCCAATTAGAAATACTGGATCTACAAAGAAGACACAAGATCTTACTTAGCATGGCACATAGTCCTGCATACTGTGTCCCCATCATCCAAACACATACAACCTGTATCCCAGCCTCTTTTAGTAACTCATAGACTCCCCAGGGAGGCATATCTTTCATTTATCCAAGAGATCAACAAAACATGTTATGGGTCAGGCAGCATACTGGAGAAATGTAGTCAAAATGTGAAAAACACATTACCGCTCTGTAGCTGATTGCCTAGTAATTTGGGTCAGGTAATCTTTCTGGTTGGGAAATCCTTTCCTTTCTTTTTTATCTGTCAAATTCTCTATTTGTCCATCAAAACTCAATTTAAAATTCACTTTTAGAGGGAGACCCTCCTAGAAATCTTTTAGACAATCTGACAACTCTGCACCATTATGGAGATCACTGTTGTAACCCACATCATATTGTAGTCATTATGCCCTGTCCCTTAGGACCCTGCCTTACACATAAGAGGACTGAAAACAGTTTGGTGAATGAATGAGTAACCAAATTAACAAACATGTTAATTTGTTAGTTTCATATAGGACATGGTTTCTCCTCCTTCACCATTCTGAGCAGTTTCCTCCAGATATGCCCCCAATTTCTCCATACCCCATTAAAGACTGAACATCAGACTTCAGGTGTAACCTGACCCTCACAAGGGAGAGCAAGATTATTATCAACCTTGATCTTGACATTGTCTTTTATTGATGCAGCTACAGATTGCATGAGCCCTTTGAGAAGCTCTGGTGACCCAGCTCGAGTTCGCCATCAACAAAAATGTTTGCATCTTTTCTATTGTTATAAGGCTCTGCTTCCCACATCCTGTGCAGTGGTAAAACCCAAAATCCAAAGAGCTTTGTATTTTTTCTACAAAACTTCAGGTTGTTGTTCTAGGCTCCAACATTCACTGGATATCAAATCCAGTTTGTTCATTCACTTTCCTTCTCGGCTTTATACCACCAATATCAGAGCCTAAGGTTAACTATATCATCATCTAAAGCATACACTGTTGATGAGACTTTAAAATGGTACCATCAACTTTAGAAATAGTTTGACATTTTCTTAAAAAGTTACATACATACCTCTCATTTGGTCTAGCCATTCCCCTCATACTTACTCAAGAATAAAAAAGCATATGTCCACATAAAGATATGTACACAAATGCTCACAGGAACTTTTAAAAAAAATATGGTATAGCCGTACATAGAATCAAAGAATGAACTACTGAAACATCTAACAACGTGGAAGAATACTGAATGAAAAACACCAAACAAAAAACAAAACTTTCTGTCTAGAAAAGGCAAACTAACCTACAGTGAAAGAAAACATATTAGTGGTTGCCTGGGGATGGGGGTAAGTAAAATAGGACAAGTAGGGAGGGATTAAAAAGAGTATTAGAGAACCAAGGCAATTAAATGGAGAAAGAACACTCTTTTTAACAAATGGTGCTAGGACAACTGTATATCTGCATGCAAAAAAATGAATGTGGGCCACGACCTCATACCGTATGTAACCATGAACTCAAAATGGATAATAGACTTAAATGGAAGAGCAAAAAGTATAAAACTTAGAAGAAAACATAGGAGTAAATTTTCCTGACCTTAGGTTAGTTAGGTGATGGTTTCTTAGATATGATATCAAAAGTATAAGTGACAAAAATATTGATAAATTGGATTAGATCAAATTTAAAACTTCTATGGTATAAAGGAAAAAAATGTATCTATACCTCACTGCCCAAATACCCTTTCCAAAGTGCTGCTTTCATCGACTTTCCTTGTCAAACCTCTAGTGGCTTCCCAGAACCTTCAGAATAAACTCACTCTGCTCCACGTGGCTTTCTGGGATCCCCTTTTACTGCCTCCCCACTAATTTATCCGAACCTCTTTTTCAAATTTCCATTCTTTAAACCAGCTCTTCTAGCCATGCCCGACCCCTCACTATCACACACACCTTTGCTCATGCTGTTGTTTCTGCTTGAAAATCTTTCTTTCTTCACGTTTCCAATTCATTCAAACCTTTACTGAATTACTCCTAGGGCTGGGATTCCTGCCAAGTGCTGGAGAGTCCCAGAGCAGTTCCCTGGGGCTGCAGGTGGGATGGGTAACTGTTTGCACCTGGTGAAGATGATGCAGCTATGGGAGCTGAGTGAAGGAACTTCTGCCAGGAAGATCTTAGCATGCACATTGATCCCTCCACTCTCAAAATTCCTACCTTGGTTATTACCTTAATAGTTATCTCTGCCCTTGAACAATCAGATACAATTTCATATACTCATAACTAAGTCTATAAGCTCCATTCCAGTGAGATCTGACACTTTCACATTCCCCCAAAGGGCGTGGCAGAGTTCCTTGAACCAAGTAAACACTACCGTAAATCTGTTGATTTGGATTAATGAGCTGAATTGGAAGGTCATTTAATCACCTCAATTTCATCATCTATAAAATAGGAAAGATAATATTTTATCGTGTAATGAATACTGTGTGACAGCATTTTATAAAATATAAAAGCATGCC